GGGGGGGGCGGTGCGGGAGGCGGTGCTTTCGTTTCCGCTTCCGGTCTAGGAGGGGCGGGGGAGATGTGGTCCCAGGGTTTCGGCAATTGGCAAGCCATGGCTGGAGGTATCTGTGGGGAGACTTGGGGCCTCTTCCCACTGCCTGCGGCTCTGGGAGCGCGCGGAACCCCCTGGGTGGAGGTGTGTGTGCAGAGCCGAGCGGAGAGCCCTGCCCACACCCCATCCTTATACAGGGTGGGGGGCGCCCGGGCCTTGGCCACTTTTGCTCAGGGCTCTCTCGTGCCCCCTTCCTCAGTACCCACGGTCGCGCTCCCTGAGCTCCGCTTACTGCTCTCCGCGGGCCGGGCCCGCCTCTTCGACGTGAGATCCCGGCAGGAGGCCGCGGCTGGAACCATCCCTGGGGCGGTTAACATCCCGGGTACGGGGCTGAGGGGGATGCGCTGGTGGTGGAGCAGGGTCTTATCTCAAGGGTGGCATGGATTAGGGCCCTGGTTACAGGCTTCCTAGGTTCCTGTAAGCCACCCTGAAGCTTCCCTAGGGAAAGGCTGTAGAAGGTGGATCCTGGCAGTGAAACTGGCTCGTCCAGTTTGAGGGGATAACAGGCCGAGAGGAGAAGGGGGCGCTCAGTTGGCCTCCCTGAACCTGGGTGCCTGCATCTGCCTGGCCCTCCTCCTCAGCTCAGGAAGTGGCTTCCTTTCAAATGCACTCAATTGTGCCTGCTTGGCTAACTGCTTCAGGTCCCTCAAGTCAGGGGCGGGGCTTGGGAGCCCCTGAAGATTTATTGGACCGCCAGGGCCCAGCCCTTCCTACCTGCTTTCCAGCCTCTCCTCTTGACTCCTCCCAGTGACCGAGCTGCAAAGAGCCCTGCAGATGGAGCCAACCGCTTTCCAGGCTTTGTACTCTGCTCAGAAGCCAAGGCTGGACGAGGAGAACCTCGTTTTCTTCTGTCAGATGGGCAAACGGGGCCAGCAGGCTACGCAGTTGGCCCGGGCCCTTGGATACACAGGGTATGGAGACGGTGTGTGCAGCGAGCGGGAGCCGGACAGGGGACTTCCTCTAGAGCCTGCCCTTGCTTCACCCTGCTTTGTCTCCACAGGGCTCGCCACTACGCTGGGGCCTATAGAGAATGGCTGCAGAAAATGGGTTAGTTAGAAGGTGGTTTACTGATTGGTCCAGCCCCAACCCGACTCCTCTCAAATGACACTTCTGGGCCACCTTCACTAGGCCTGATGAATGAGCTGACCTGCTGGGCTGTGTAACTCCTTGTGTTGTGCACACCAAAACATCAAATAAAGAGCAACTTAGTCAGAGTCTTGGAAGCCTTTAATTTGTCTTATGGACTGAAAACAGGGCCAGTCTTACTCTACAAGACCACATTTCAGCCTTGGGTCCTGTTTCCTTCTGTGTTCTAACTGTAATCTCCCCCATACCCAAATACATTATACAGAAAACCCAAGCCCTTCACCCTCAAGTTGACTGACTCACGGGGACCACGTGATACAGAGTAGAACTGCTCTGTCGGGTTTTCTGAACTGTCATCTTTAGAAGCAGACGTGTCTGTGGGGCTGCTGGATGGTTTTGAACGGGGGTTAGGCGAGGACAATCGATTTGTACCACCTGGGTACCTTTCCCCAAATACATACTAGCAATTCTTATTGAGACTAAGATTGAGGCAGTGGTGGTTCAGCAGAATTCTTGCCTCCTGTGTAGGAGACCCAGGTTTGATGCACTTTGTGCGCAGCCACCACCTGCCTAACTAGAGGCTCTGTGCTGCTATGCTGGTGAACAAGTTTCAGTGGAGCATCCAGACTGTCTTACGTTGGGTTCTCTAGAGGAGCACAACCAGTGAATCGTGTGTGTGTGAAGAGAAAGATTTGAAATAAATGGCTCTAGCAATCGTGGAATCTGAGGGCCAGGTGGCAGGCTGGAGGCTTATCCAGATTTAACATGGTTACAGGTGCTAACAAAACCAAAATCTGCAAGTCAAGTGGCAGGATGTCTGGTTTATGGGAGTTACTAAATTCCAAATCTGCAAGTCAGGTGGCAGGCTGAAGGATTTTCCGGGACCAAGAGCCAGAGGTCAGACTACGATGAGACAAATACAGGATTAAAACAGCTTTTCCAGAATATCCACTTATGCTATGGTTACAGGTCATATCCCCTCCCAAGGAGACCCTTCGGATTGGCTGTTGACACATTTGATCACAAAATGGGAGGGGATTAAATAGTGTTTGCCAAATGACATTATAACTTACCTAAGTTGGCACATACCATTAGTCATCACAGTCCACCCCTTGTTGATTTGGCACCTAAACCCTCCTACTGCCATTGAGTTGAAGCCGACTCAACTCATAGCAACCCGATGAGAATAGGACTGCTTCCTAGGGTTTCTGAGACGAAAGCTTTGTGGCAGCAAACAGACTTATCTTTCTCGCATGGAGTGGCTGGTGGGTTTAAACTGCTGGCTTTGTGGGTAGTGGCCCAATGTGTAACTCACTACACCACCAGGGTTCTTTAAACCACACCTAGTCTCTACAACTACACTAGTTTGTGTGTTGCAAAATCATTTGTCAGTTCAAGTTTACTTTTACTCAGACCAGTGTTTATGTCTGTTGGGTAAGAAATCTGGAGGGTTTTGAAGGCTACGACCCTATGTCTCTTTAAAAAAATTTAAAATTTGATTCATTATCCCCCCTTTTAGTTATAGAATATTACACAAAACAAACAATGCCATTTAATAAATGCTGACTCATAGCGACCCACTGTGGATTTCCGGAGATGAACTGTTTATGGGAGTAGAAAGTCCCCAGTCTTTCTCCCGAGGAGCTGCTAGTGGTTTGAACTTTTGACCATACAGGTCCAGCCCAATTCTAATCCATAGACTATTACACATAGGGACATGTCTGATTAGAACACATGGGAACAAATGAAGGGAGAGGAAGAGAGAGTGGAGCGCATCCTGGTCCGCCAAGCCCTGAGAACAATATCCCCGTTCCGAACAGCCCATGCAAAGAGTGGACTGATGCCGCGGTTTCTTGAGCAGGGAGAATGAACAAAGAACCAAACAGACACACACACACACACACAAAGACAATACAGGACTGCAGCACAAAATAGACACAGACAGAGACGGTTCAAACTGCAGCCATGATGGCCCACAGTGCTTTATTTGTAAGTACTAAATACTGGCAGTTTCCCAGATAAGTTTGCTATTCCCATGCTTGAATTTCTCATAGCCTTGAGAGTGAGTTCCGTATCTCAGCCCATACTGCTTTTGATTTACTTTCTACCAGAGAAACACTGTTTGCAGCTGCCCGCCCCCGCCCCCCCGCCCTCCCCCGATTCCTTACCGTTTGCAGTAAGGAAGCAGTTTATGAGAACTAGCTAGGACAAATGTTTGTGCACTGTCCTAGACAGATACATGACACGAGACACAGTGCTCCTCTCATGGCTCCTTCAGTGACCATATGGCTGGCTCCACCATGAGACACAATGTCCCTCTCTGACCCATGGCCCTAGAAGGGACAACACTGGAGACAAGGTGTCGGGATTGCTCCTGGTCTGACCCCACCACACCGAGGCAAAACAATAAGGGCATGTGGCAGAGCAGCTGGGGGAGCAGAGGAGGGAGGTCCCGAGGAAGTGCAAAGGATAAACTCTGGGTCCAGGGCATGGCACCCCATCAGACTTGACTGGAGGACACTCCTAGAGGTCAACAAACAGACCTTGAACTATTTACAGGTTTTTCTTTTTAAAAACTAATTAATTAATTAATTAATTTTGGGGTCATATTTTTTGTTGTTGTTTTGTTTGTTTGTTTTGCTATGTCTTGTTTTTGTGCATATTATTATCTCTGTAGGTCTATCTAGATAAGATAGGCTGGATGAACAGTCTGGAGGAGAGAACAATGGGACCAATGGTTCCGGGGGAACATGGGAGAAGGGAAGGTGGGGGAAAGGAGGTGATGTTAACCAACCCAGGGACAAGGGAACAGCAAGTGATCCAAAATCATTGGCAAGGAGGGTGTAAGAGGCCTGGTAGGGACTGATCAAGGGCAATGTAATTGAGAGAAATTACTGAAACCCAAATGAAGGCTGAGCATGATAGTGGGACAAGAGGAAAGTAAAAGGAAATAGAGGAAAGAACTAGGATGCAAAGGGCATTTATAGAGGTCTAAATACAGGCATGTACATATGTAAATTTATTTATATATGATGATGGGGAAATAGACCTGCATGCATATATTTATAGGTTTAGTAT